TGAACAGGAGCTGCTCGAGAAGTGGAAGCCATTTCCCCCTCCGAGGGCGCCGTGGAAGACAACGTTGACTCCCACAGATGGAGTTTAAGGCGCTGCTGGCGAGCCTTAAGAGCGGCTTTAGTGAAAGCTTTGCAGTGTGGGCAAGTTTTGGAGTTGTGCGATTCCCCCAAACAATACAGACAAGTATCGTGGCCGTCCTGGTGGGGAATCTTGCGGTCGCACACCACACACCTGCTGAATGGCCCGGAAGGGGACATAGGGCAGTAAGCAAAACCGAAACGACTAGTTTAAGGGAGAAGGCAGAGCAGTCCGAAATCAGTCCGAGTAAAGCCAAGAATAGAATAAACCGAGTCGTCTAGTTGAAGGGAAAAGCGCTAGGGTAGTCCGTGAGCGAAGCGTAGGTCAAAACCAAGGAATCAAATAGATCGCAAATAGACGCAGCTAAGACGAGAGGCTCCAAACCGCTAGGCGGAAAAATGGAACTGAGGGACGGTTAGGCTGGGCGTGCGCAGTAGGGGTAGTCCTAAACATTGTTACTTTTCTCTTGCAGCTAGAGAATGTTCCGAGAGGCCCAATGCTGGCGCTGGTATTAACCCTTTGTGTGCATTCACAGAAGACCACAATGAAGAACCTTAGTTTTAAATATTGATTGAAGCTGTGTACTAATGGAGGAGCAGTGCGAGGAGCCTGAGAATAGCCATCAAAGTGTACAGGACAGGGGGAGATATGACGGGAGACAACAGTCACCGCGTTATGTAAGGGGGAAGTGGGAGAGGGTATTAGCTGCCCCTAAGCTGTCCCTACATTTGAATAGCTTGGATAACCTTGGTATCGGCCCCCTGGGTTGAATGTGCTGCTGCTAAATGCCAGGTTGGTAAATGGGAAAACCACCATCCTGGATGAGCATGCTAAACTGGGTTGTATTACAGACACTTGGTTGTGCGAGGCTGGGGATATTAATCTCACTCAGCTTTGCCCACTAGGTTTTTCTATATAGCAGCAGACAAGACCTGGAGGGCAGGAAGGTGGAGTTGCAATGGTCTATTGTGATTCCACCCTCCTTAAGCAGACATCATAGCCCAGGACAGAACAGGGATTCTGTTGGTCAACTGCCCACCCTGCTGCTCAAACGTCTCTCTTCCTGAATGGTCAAGCACCTATTACAGGTTGGCCCGCTGGAGGAGAACACACACTACACTATAGCCTGCCGTGAAGAATTTGTATGGTACTTTGCAGGTAGAATTGCTCGGATCTGCTCTGACTTGGATGCTGTAATTCATGCAGGTCCTGTGAACATAACTATGGCCTGAGTTTGTCTTGCATTTATGGAAAGTTTCTGTTTTTGCAGCCTGATGATGTGGATGGGAGTCTTGAAGAGGTGAAAGCTACAAGTCTGTTGGACCCTTGCCCTTCTTGGCTTATAAAAGCTACTAGAGAGGGACTAGCTGACTGGGCCAAAGGAGTGGTGAACGCCTCCCTGTAGCAGGGTAGAATCTCAGCATGTTTAAGAGTCAGTAGTGAAACCATTGCCGAAAGCTTAGATCCCACAATTTTGAATAATTTCTTATATCCATCCTCCCTTGTTCATACCTCCTCCCATGTATGCTGTATACAAACCTCTGACTCAAATATTATGTTCCATGTGTCTGAGGGGTGGATTACAAGCCATAAGAACTCACACTGAAATAAATTGTGTCTTAAAGGTGTTAGTCGCAAAGGTGTCTCAGAACCATTGATTTGTTTTTGCAGAAAGTGGCTATCACGGCGACCTCTCTGAAAACTTCACTGAAATAAAACACAGAGCTGGAAACAAAACTGAGTTTTCTTGTAGAGGGAAGATACTCCTACAGAAGTAGAGATATGTTTCATGTAATGGCAGCTTGCTCTTGCCCCATTCTCTATATGTAAATGTTGGCCAGGGTCACCACCTTTTCAGGAAAAGATGCTCTCACTGAATGCTGATAGATCTTGCAGAGGGACATTCCCCCTTTAACATCTTGGTATGGAGAACTAGGTTACTATTCCTTTGCACAAAGAAAGAAAAACTCAAGAGTCCTTTATTAAATTTTAATTCCTTTCTTATGTAGGATCAGACACTATTATTTTGACCGTCCAATTAACATCTGTTAAAGGGAAACATATCTGCTGGAAGTTCTAGGATTCCACAGAATCTAGATCCTGGTGAACAAGTATTTTATAATCCCATTTTAGGTTAAAAATAAATCCTATATTGTAGCCTAAGACCAAAACCAGCAAGAAGAACTTATCTACTTCTCATTTTTAAATAAATTACTTGGAAATCCAAGTAATTAAAAACAATACACATTTGCTTAACTCTCAAATTTATTTACAGGCTTTAGATATGTTTTATACACCTCAATTTACATAAGAGGGAAACCAGAATAAAGCACTTTACACTTGAAAAAAGGGTGAAGCATTCTGCATATTTACAAGAAATGTTTATTTAAAAAGGGAGGTGCCAAACATGGTGCACTCGTTCATCTTTTACTAGGTATTAATATAAAAGGGTACATGTCAGCATGGCATCTTGGTTTTTTGTTTTTAAAAACCGCTTTAAGGTTCCTGAACAGAAAAAGAAAAAAAAAGTTGTGCTGAAATAATGGATACAATGAAATAAAAATAATTTTCTACTAATTAAAAAGTACTTGCATTATCAGTGGTATTTGCAGCAAAACACCATATTAGCCCTAGTTTTAAATGGAAATCATTATCAACTTTTCCCCACTGTTCAGCACAACACACTTCAAAAATCTTGAAATAAAGACCTTTTTAGATAGTGAAGTGCCATGGTTAAAGTTATAACAAGAGTTTGGGTATTAGTAGCAACTGTCGTACTACATCTCTACTCCAATTCCAGCATTTTACAAAATGCTTAAATACATTTCCTTGAAGGATTAAAGTCAATTATTAATCTCAACTAGAAAAAACTCCCTGGCCTATATCCAGTTGAGGCATTATCCCTGTACATCATTCTGCACAGTTGTACTTTTCACAACTACGTGTAAGGAGGCATCCACTACCTCCTCATGTGTATGGTTTTCATGGCTGCAACATCGCTGATCCCAATCATGTCCTTGCAGCAGAGAGAAGGAGATATTTATGTCAACATGCAGCAGAAGAAGTCCCAGCTTTCTCTGACAAGTTCACCTTCTTCCTGGGAGGGGGCATAGAGAACAGCCCAAGTGGTGAGCAAGATGATACCCATTTACTGCATGCCCTGCTGCTTTATACATACTATAAGGGGCAGAGATATGAAGTCCCAGTAGTTGTTCTGGATGGGTGTACATCTTATTTTATCTGTCTGGGCAAAATGTGCATGGACAGCAGTTTGTGCCTGCCTCTCTTATGTACTTAGAGCCTCCTTCCTTCATGACAGTATGCCTGACTTCCTTCTATCTGTTCATCTGTCTTGTCTGGTCTCTCTCTCCAAAGTGAAGTGAACACATATTCCATTCTCTTTTCCCATCCTCACCTGCAGGCATTTCTCTGCCTATCACACTGGCAACTGCTGCAGCTCCCTTGTCATCTACCCTCTTCTCCTGGGTAAAGGCATAGCACAATTTAAGCTAGAAGGCAGTAACATTTGGGTGCAGGAAGGAAGCATGACTGGATGCATGAAGACAATACAACCCGTGTGGTTCTACAACTTGGCACTGCAGTGCTGTTAAGGATCTTCACTTAATGAGCATTCAATTGGATTTAGGCAACTAGCTTATTTATTGATCATGCCTACTCTAATTGGAGCTAATAAACAGATTTAGACTTCAGCATGTGGGCAGCACATATGTCTAAAATGGGCTAAAAAGACACAACACAAAAGGCATTTGTTGACAAAGCGGAAGAGAAAACTAAGTACTCTTTGACTGACCAATACTTATTAGGAAATCTGACAAGACTTTCAAAATGTTATTTTTAAAGATCCAACACTATAGACACTTCAAAGCTCTGAAGTCACATCCCATACAATTTGTGTACTTCCCAGATGTGGCACATGTATTTCTTCATCCTTCTCTCCTAAATATGATGTTCTAAAATACAGATAAAGGAATCCACAGAGATATTATTGATCTGTTATTGCCATGTCTCCTATTGTGCTCAAATGATTCCAACACTCTTGCGTATATACAAAGGCCAGTGGGGAAAAGGTGGTAATGCTTTGGCTGCCCTCGACTTCCTAAAGTCTGTATGACCCATTAAATAAATTATGTTATCTTTTCTAAATAACAGAAGTATCATTCTTCTGAAGAACTTCAGTGTCTAAAGCTACAAAATTGAGAATGTAATTGCTTTACAGGATCAGAACTCTTTCAATGGCCAACCAGATGCCTCTTGGAACAAGATGTAAGTGCAAGAGCACTTTCCTACTCTTGTTCCCCAGCAAAAGGTACTCAGACGCATACGGCCACTGATGCTGGAGACACCATTTGGCCATCATAGCTAGTAGCCATGAATATTCTTCTGCCCCATGACAGAAAACAGCAAGCAGATAAACCACAGTCCATATGGAGCAGTAAGCAGATAAAAGTATTTTAAAAGCATACTATTCAGCTTCAGTATGAGGTTTCCAACAAGTCAGATCCAGCCCTGAGATTGCACGTCTATCTTTGTGGGAACTTCATTTGCTCCTTGCATCTCTTTCTAAGGAAAGACAAACATTTATAAAATGTAACAAAAGCTCACAAGACAAAAGTGTTTATCCTTAAGAAATGTGATTATTACCACACACATCAGGAAGAAAAAGCTACACTTCAAAAGGAAACTGTTGCATAAGCAATCAGCATGCTTGACAAGGACACTATCATCTCACTTCTAGTTTTTTCCCTTCTAGAATCATCTGAATTTCTTTGGCATCCAAAGTCTCATAGGTCAGCAATGCTTCAGCTAAATTCTTGTGTTCTTTTGCGTGGGTCTTCAATATATTCTTCGCCCGTTCATATGAGTCCTATCACAGAAAGGTGCATTTAGTATTCATAATAAATTTGAAAATATATGCTAAAACAATGTAATCACAATCTTACTCATACTTTACACATACACACTTATTGGAAAAAGTAAAGAGTAGGTCCACCCCGCAAATTAAAGAAAAATAAGAAATACATGCTATTAAGGAAAAAGACTCATTAGCAGCAATGTGTGAGAAGCAAACTTTATTATTAAACTAGTTAAAGAGGTTTGTTATAAACAATTTGTGCAGTTTTTCTGAACTTTGCAGTGAAGCTTCACTTCTAATCGTACAATTCTTAAAAGAGGCAAGGAATGTAAGCATTCAATTGTACAATTCTTAATATGAATACTAAAAGAGGCAAGGAATGTAAGCATTCAATTTTTATTTTTATTGTTCCATGAATTGAAGCTTCAAAATTGTTCTTACCTTTAAAAGTGTTCTTATTTCCTGTTCAATTACAGACTGGGTTTCTGGACTGATCTTCACAGTTTCTGTATAGGTCATGACACCAAGCTTACAGTAACAGGAAGAGAATCAAGAGAGAAGTGTTTATTTTTGTTGCATATTTAAAAGAACATATCAATTTTCCATAATCTAAGCTTCCAATGTCCTCTAATACTCAATGGACAAAATCCTGCTGCTTAATTATGCCAACAGAAGTCAAATGGTGTTAACTCTCAGTAATTGCTGCTAATTAACAAAAATAAATCCTATTACAGTATTCAAAATCCCCTGCATGCAGGGGATGATGAGAAGGACACATTATTTAAAATGACTCTTCCTCTACAGGGCATGGGCATATAGAATGTAGCTGCTGTTGTCACTGCTTCACCATCCTCTGCACCTTTACATGTGATGTGAAACTCAAGTCTGTATAGCATGAACTACAGTCTTGTGAAAGTATTGGATAATCAAGGCTCAGCGTATTGCTCACTTAGAATAAAAGCTAAATGGTTATTCTGTCAAGATCATTTTGTACAAAATTAGCACAATCACCAGTGAAAGAAGGCATTTACCATTTACAGCACACACGGCATTTTAAAAAAATCAACAAAGATTGATGTTATTTGCACGTTTCCATGTAGATTTTACTGTAATCTAAAGGGCCCAGCAGCAGATAGCAGCATTTTAATATAAAAGCCCTGGTCCTTCAGGATTCAAAAAGACAAGGCAAAAAGGACAATATCTGAACTTAAATAGAGATTAAGAGAAATATTACCTTCTCACTCATTCCAAACTTAGTTACCATGAGCTTTGCTATTTTAGTAGCATTGTCAAAATCACTAGAAGCACCTAATGAAAAAAGACACAAATGCAATTAAGGCCACGAAGATACATTATACAGGTGTGCTAATATACTGATTGAAGGTTATTTTCTTCTGATGTCTACTGACCTGTCGTGATGTGATCACCCCCAAATATGAGTTCTTCTGCTACTCTTCCACCCATACTAACATCCATTTGTGCAAGCAGCTGAGATCTAGTTTCACTCCATCTATCATTTTCAGGCAGCAAAGACACCTTTAATTCAAAATTGCATAAGAAGATATTAGTGGCTGAGAAAACAGTAATTAGATTTCACCACCACTATCTACTTTTATCTGCTTGAAATATTGATGGGAGTCCAGGATATCTGCTCTCAGCTCTTCTTTTGTTTCCTCCATGCTACTGAACAAATCTACTACTGAATACAGAATATTTGCATTATCCAGAAAGTCCTTAAAGTTCTGACACGAATTGCCACAGGCCGTGAAATATTATTTAAGGTGAGAAGCAACTGCCCCCTAACAAGCAAATAGATAAACAGCAGCTACTGGCCAATCTATCCTCCAAATCATGAGTGCTAGCTATACCTTTCTGTCATCATGTTCAATGTATGAAAGATACAGTCTGGTGTTCTGGCTCCCTCTGGCTCTTGCAGGGATTCTACATAGACAGCACAGCAACCCTGTCTTCAGACTGTCACTGGCATGTGTTGAAAGAAATAATGGATAGGGCCTGGCTAACGTGCTCACTCCATTGTGTGTGATGCACACACACTCTAAAAAGGTCTGAACAAAACTTATCTGCCCCTGCACTATTCTGGAAAGCTGCCCTGCCTGTTCAAAGCTGAGATCAGCAGAGTAAATTACACATGTACACACCCCATACTACTGAAGCTGAGAAATAGATCCTGATGCTACTATGGCTGCAGGAGCAATCTGCTTATTTGGACTAGCTGGCTACTTAAGAAACCAGTATAATCTGGCACTACAGTTCACAATAACTTTTAGAAAAGGAGGGAGTTTCCAAAAAACATATATCTCAAATCCTTAAATATACAAACTGCACATTTTTCACAGCATTAAATGTGAATACATTATGCAACCCAAGGAGGTACAACTGTTTTCATACTAAGAAGATTGTACACAATCACTATTTAAATCCAAAGAAATCTTCCTTAAAGCATGAATAATACTATCTGTTCTGTAGTACGTCACAATACCTGTGCAATGAAATATTCCTTAGAATCTTAGAAATACAGAGATGGATTCTATGGATCATTGAATCCATTGTCAAGGAGCAGCAGCAGGGAATCAAACCTCTGGCTCTACAGCCAGATACCTAGGCTACTGAGCTATCATGTTGAGGTATTTGAGCACTATAGTCCTGAAGTTCAAAATGAAGTAGTCCAAGATAAAAGAAATACTCTCCCTGAATTACATTGATATATTTTTCTGAGCTGTAATAGTTGTAAAACAAAGTTTCCCTAAAACATCTACAAGCTCTACAGCCAGATACCTAGGCCACTGAGCTATCATGTTGAGGTATTTGAGCACTATAGTCCTGAAGTTCAAAATGAAGTAGTCCAAGATAAAAGAAATACTCTCCCTGAATTACATTGATATATTTTTCTGAGTTGTAATAGTTGTAAAACAAAGTTTCCCTAAAACATCTACTCTGCAATTAATGACAGAACTGTTCAACTAGGCTTAAAATGATTCCATGTAATCATATCAACAATCTTCAACATTATAGTTCTACTGGGAATTTTCTCAAGTGCAAAACAGTCAAAGCTTATTCAAAATTCTCACATGTCCAAGTGTTGGTCCTCGTGGCATAATTGTTGCTTTGTTGATTGGCATTGCATCTTTAGTATAATATGCTATAATGGCATGCCCTGATTCATGATAAGCTGTAATGGTTTTGTTTTTTTCATCTATTTCCACACTTCTACGTTCAGGGCCTGGGAGGAAAGCAAACGAGAACATATTAAATCTAAAATTTTAAATTGTAAGTGGAACCTTTTACCAAATATTGCAGTGTGGAGTCATCCTCCTCAGAGTTTGAGTTTCAAATAATTTATTCCACCCCTGTCCTGTTTAATCTCCTTGTTCTGAAAACTGTGACATTTTCCAAGTCTGCAAATACTTCCCTTCATGTGCATGGGTAAAACTGTTTTGTTCAATAAGAATACATAATCCGAAGCTGAAATCCTGTTCTGCAACTTTAGGAGTGTTCTGTAAAACTGATTATTTTACCACCAGCAGTAATTTCTGGAACTTAAAGACTCCTCTCCTCCCACTTTCCTGCAGTCCCCATAATGAAAGGGATCCCACAGGAGCCTTGCAGACTTCGCGGGAGGGATTGGAAATTTGTTATTTCTGAAAAATTGCTATAGTTGGTGTCATCATCAGTCCCTGATGGCATACCTCTGCAAACAGGATTTCAACCAGAGAATGAATTCCCAATAAGTATATAAAATGAAGATTAAATTATGATAATAATCATAGAACTGCAGAGCTGGAAAGACTTCTTACTAAGGCCAGCCCTTAGTAAAACCACTCCTTAAATATCTTACCTTCAAAGCCCTATTAGGTCACTATGAATGGGTTCCAACTTGACAGCATGTAACACATAACGGATTTTTTTACCAGTTCCATGATTCAGATTAAAACATTTCAAAGATCTATCCCTAAAGATGGAGATAAGATGGGCTTTCTGTATTTCTAACTCACACCAACACAGCAGATTATCTTCTGACAATTTAAAAAAAAATTACTTCATGACAGTGGTCATAATACTCCCTTGAAAATGAATACATAATGGGGTCTTAATTGCACATGAACATTATTCCTATAACTCAGAATAACACATCTGGACTCATTTAGGTTCTAATGCTTCCGCTCTAAATTGGAAGGACTTTTTATCTAACCATTTCTGATATATTATCTTTATATTAACCAAAACCCTGCTGAGATTTTACACTGGCAAACTTTTAGAGGTAAATTACCTGCAATTAACAAGTCAACATTACCTGTTGCACACCAAACCCAACTACAGTGTGCTAATGTCTAATTTCTTAACTAGAGGCTATTTGATTTTAAAAGTTATGCCATTTGCACAAGTGGTAACCAATAGGATTTTAGCCATTAATTTTACAGTTACAATCTACAGTTATTTATTAAGGCATTTATATCCTCCCCTTCAGTTCCTCAAATACAAATATAATCCATAAAACATGAACAATAAGCTAAAAAGTTAGAAGTCAGATATTCAAAATAAGAGGATTAGAAAGACCAAGTCAAAAATTATGACAGAACAAAGAGATGGCACATCCAAATACCAGCCACAAGGGAATCAAACATGCTCTCAGCATAAGAGACTCAACAGTGGGGTGCTAAGTTCTTACTCAGTGGTCTGGAGCAGGGAATAATTTATAGATATCTGTCCCAGTCTTTAATGGCAAGAGCCCAAAATTTATTATGGAAGCATATTAATACCATATTTGCTACCCACTACAATGACATTCGAACCTGGGGAGTCAGGAGTAAAGTATATTTTAAAAACACTTGCATCTGTTCAAACCCAATGTATTCCAAAATGACAGCTGCAACTTTAGTAATAAAAAATTAATGTTTCTAAAGTATATACTTGAATAAACTCAGTATCAAAATTAAAATAATCTTGTTTTACCTAGAAAAAGAGCCTACCCATAAGAATTTTATCCTTTGAAAATTCTAGCTCCTTCATAGTAACCATATCTTTTCCATCAACTGCAGCTTTTAATGCAGCTTGATTCACAAGGTTTTCCAGCTCAGCTCCAGAAAATCCTACTGTACCTCTTGCAATGATTTCTGGATCAATGCCTATATGAATAAGAACACATTAAAAGTTAATGACTAAATTCTATATTAATTCAGCAAAAAAGGTTCATGATAAGCTAACTGACTACCGTGTTTTCCCCAAAATAAAACAGGGTCTTATATTAATTTTTGCTCCAAAATGCACTAGGGCTTATTTTCAGGGGATGTTTTATTTTTACCTTGATTCAAATACAGTTATGTCATCTTCTTCCGGCTGCTGCACAATGGTGGAGGGCAGGGCTTCACTTAACTGGGGCTTATTTTGGGGGTATGGCTTATAATATGAGCAACCGGAAAAATCATACTACGGCTTATTTTCAGGTTAGGTCTTATTTTCAGGGGAAAAGGATAGTACATACATAAAATGCAAAAAAGTGACTTATTATATCCATATTTCATTCCAAATGAATGTTTTGATTACACAGCTAACTTAGTACTTGTAAAATAGGTAAATAAGAGAAAGCTGAGAATCAATAGCAATTGTTTCAATGGATTAATGATTTTTTTCACTGAAAAGAAGATAGTCTATGGATGTAGCTAGAGATTTTGCACATGTATCATCAGTTGCAACTGGTGCAACTGTAAAGAAAACTGCAAGAACCTCTCTAATTAGGAATCGTCATACCTCACATTCCTATCCCTTAGTGTGGTGGGAGGATCTTTGGCTTTTATCAGATATTTGGGCCTACAACTCTCATCTGGCCACTGGTAGGGACTTGTGGCAGTTGAAATTCAAAATATGTCCATTAGGTTGGAAACGACTTGATGACATACCATTATATTAATATTATTCAAGGGCAAACAATTCCTAATCCAAGCTTTAACTGATAATGTTTCCTTAAAGATATATTCCTATGGTGAGTTGATCTTCAAACACCAACACCACCTATCAGCAATTTTCTGTATCTTTGTTTTTCAAAATGGTAAAAATTACATAATTTACTTACTTTCATCATATTTTATTTTATTGAGGTACCATTTTAGAATTTCTGTTCGGCCCCTAACATCTGGCCTGGGGACTGTAACTTGCATGTCAAAGCGACCAGGACGTATCAAAGCGCTAAATCAAGTAAATAGATAAATGGGAGAGAAAAACTCTGTGAATTACAGAACAAATATAAAATTGCTTTTGACCAAAATATGTTAAAGTATTTTTGTTGGTTTGTTTCCTAAGAATTACAGCTGTATACTGGTAAAACTTGTAATATATATTTAGTTGATAACTAAAGGTTAGTTTACATAAGCAGATACCCTCAACATACATTTTATAACTATCTAGGGCAGAGGTCCCCAACCCCTGGTCCACAGCCCAGTGCTGGTCCATGACCTGAGCTGGACCAGGCCGCAGAGACAGATCTCCCACCCCTGGATGCACTCTCCCCCCACAGCCCCTTTGTGCATGTGTGCAAACACTGTGCCAGATCTAGGGATATGTTTTTTTTTCAAATTTTTGGACTTCAGTTCCTGGAATCCTGCAAGTGTTCTGGAAATTGCAACCCAGAAACCCAAAAGCAGCACTCCTGTAGCCTCTCCCCACCCAGAAAAGCCTTTCAAGTTATTATCTGCACCAGCAGCTCTTCCGGCCTTGTTTCTTGTTGTTGACTTGTGAAAAAAAGGAAGCTGCCATGATACTTCCAGGGAGTCACGGTTCTTTTGGAGGAGCCTTCTACAGAGCCCTAAAGGGCAGTGAGACTATGGCTCCCTCAAAGAATCATAGCAGCTTCCTTCTTTCTTTTACGAAATAGCAACAGGAAACAGGAAGGCTGGAAAAGTCAACAATGCAGATAAAAAACTTAAAAGCACTTTTCTGCCAGGGAGACCTATAGCGTACTGATTCCAGTGCCTGGACTGCAATTCCTAAAATTCATGGACGATTCTCGGAAACTGAATCCAAAAATTTGAAAGACCACACTCCTCCTTGCTACTGTTCTGAGAAGCCTGGCAGATGGAGCTAAGAGGCTCAGCCACTTCCCTCAGCTTCATCCAGCCCGATCTTCTCCACGGAGGCCAAATAAGTATGCTCATCCAGAACCAATTTCTAGAAGCTGCTGCTTACCCATTCACTGACCTTCCATTCAGCAGCAGCATTTTGAATCCTGGAAATCTATTTCTTCCCACCCACCCCCACCAGTGTCATAACTGTAATATAGCAGTTACATATCTTGCTCACATACTTATCTAATGCTTCAGGGAAGTTTGTTGCACCAATTATGATGACTCCTTCATTAGTCTTAAATCTTTGAAAAGAAAAAAGAGCTTCAGTTAATACAAATCGGAGTAAACCTAGAACTGGAGCCCAGCCCAACTCCAATACTATCTAGAGAAGCATCTAACAGATACCACAGATACTTCATACAGCAAGGCTTCAGAATCTTTTTCAAACTGAGGGCTGTATTTCCTCAAGGAATAGCACTTGGGTACCATGTACCTGGTGGGCAGATCCAGTGCACTGAGAATGCTAAGCCATGCTAGTGGGCAGAGCCCTGTTCTCTGTCACCTCATCTTCTCTTTCCCTTTTCATTCTCTTTCTCTCGAGTGCATACTCACACATATCCATTCACCCATGCTTTGCCATCCATCCCAAACCTATTCATCCATATAAATGTACCTCTTCTCACAAAAGTGCAGATCAGAGCTTCCCATTGGGACAATGACTGTATAGCCCATCCTATGGTTATTGATGGCCGGCCCAAGCCATTTTCAAAGCATAAGGTATGTGACCACGGTGATTCTAGAACTTTATTAGCCAAAACCACAAGTGTACTTCTAAATGTAAATGGGAAAGTAAGGAATAATGTTCTTAGATCACCTCATACTAAGACATGGAATGTACTATTCTCTCCTGAGCTTCTGCATCCCTCTTTCAATGCCCCCAAACATGAAGCCTGGAGTACTGAAAAATCAGGAAAGACTGGACATTCAGATGCACCATAATTGGTAGTTTGAGGATCATCTGGTAAATGGCCAAAATATTCCACTTTTGAAGTCTATACCAGATTTCACATTCCTTACTTTTGAGGCCACATATTTCTCTCTCTGAACCCAACATCTATTATCCTTACACCATATAGTTACAACACTAGCAATAATCCCCCGAATTAGAAACAAAATTGAGTATTTACCCATCCATTTCAGCAAGAAGCTGATTTATAGTTTGCCTTGAGTATGGATGCATTGGAGACTCTACTCTTTTGCCACCAACAGAATCCAGCTCATCAATGAATATGACACAAGGTGCATTTGCTTTGGCTTCCCCTAAGAATACAATATGTCATCTTAGTTCTTCACACAGTGATTCATTTCTTCCCTTGTTTTAAATACAAAATTCCAAAGGGTTTCTGCCATGAAACCCGCACTTTTCCATAAGAAAAACTACCACTGTTATTATTTTTCCAAAGGGGGAAAAATAAAACACTTCTCTCCAGACTGGGCAAAAAAACATGCTCCAAAGTGGCCAGAGATTATATCACAGTGGGTCCAAGAGAATTCACATTCCTGAAAAATGCAAATCCTAAAAGATAACATTTTTGATTCCTTGTAAGATTTGTCAGTTTGATTTTTTTTATTTTAATAGAGAGCTGAAAGTGTTCTGCAGTAATAAAGAGTTACACCTTCAAGTGTATCTGCCCCAGTGATGGGATTCAAAGGGGTTAAAAGATGGTTGCAGAAATATTTAATTTCTAACAAGTGCACTGCTAGTAAAATCCCAGCAGCGATTTTCAGAAATTACATCTTTCCCCCATCCTGTGTCCCCACAACAACAAGGTTTCCCCATAACAAATGGATCCTAAGAGATACTCAGAATTCGGAGAGGAGGGGTGGTTGGAAATGTTCAATTCCCCCCCCCAAACAAAACAAGAGACTACCAGCAAGGCAACATTTTGCTTGCCTTGCCTCGTAAATCTAAAATGTATCAGTGGACCACACAGAATCATAACTGAAGAGCCACTGTGGTACTGTATATCAGAGATTCAGAGCTGTGGGAGGAAAAAAAATGCAAGTTCTGGGGAGGGGGGGGGAGAGACTTTGCTATGTATGTTTGTTGAAAGTGAAACATTAATCACAATTTTAATTCGGATTAAAGGTATATATCCAAAAGGTCAATTCGTACATGGATATTACTTTAGATTATTATTTGTATTTGTGGCTTATATGCTTTCACCCAAAAAATATTTATCTTGTAACAGCTGCAGCATTAATGCTCTGGGTTCTAACATTGTTGAAGAATATAAAAGCAATTTTTAAATTAAGACAACTTTGAAACTGTCAAACTTGTTTAACACTACACTGCAATCTATTCAGTTGGCTGGAGTGTGTGTGTGAAGAAATTAAGTATAAATATAAGTCTTAAAAAATTTTAGTCCTATATTACTGGTCTATCTTTTTAAATTAAGGCAACTTTGAAACTGTCAAACGTAACACTACACTGCAATCTATTCAGTTGGCTGGAGTGTGTGTGTGAAGAAATTAAGTATAAATATAAGTCTTGAAAAATTTTAGTGCTATATTACTGGTCTATCCACATTACTGACACTTCCTTGCAAGGCCAGAAACAATAAACTATATTCAACTTACTAAACAGGTTTCTGATACGACTAGCTCCCACACCAACAAACATCTCATCAAATTCAGACCCAGAAGCATAATAAAAGGGAACATCAGCTTCTCCTGCTACCGCTCTGGCAAGAAGGGTTTTGCCGGTACCTGGGGGGCCCACCAACAGAATACCTGGAAAAATAAAGGCATAGGAATCTAATTACATCAAAATATACACTTGTTCTCTGTTTTGTAGTATCTTAATAAGTGCAAATATTGCTCATTACAGTTTTCAGCATACCTACAAATAGGACAATTGTTTAATAAAGGATACGTGTTTAATTGTACATACTAAAAATATGAACATACGGATGGGATTTTCAGAATTAAAGAACTCCGAGTCCCATAACACGGTGGGAAACTGTTCCCCCCTCCAGGCCAAATTACGTGATTGGGAGCCCTCAAACTGACAGGAGGTAGTCCTCTCATGTCCATGCCATTCCTATGCTGTTTCTTCAGAAAGTTAGAAAATGGCATTGGAGTTGTGAGGATGCCCTGAGACTGTTGAAGGTGCATGGAGGAGCAAGTTTTGCTAGAGGCTTCCAAAGGTGACTCTTCCATGTACCTTTGTGAAAATAGTTAATTGGACTGCATTAGGAACTACTTTTATCTAGACATGTTTTTAAATTGAAATCTACTCAATCTGCAAGAGGAGGATGTGACAAAGTGTCACATAGCCCTAACACTGCTTCACTGAAATCGAGAGGTACCACCAAAAAAATTAAGTTAAATAAAAAATTTTAAAAAAATATTTTTTTAAAAAACCCTGTCAGAATATCTCTACCAAAGCAGCAAAATCAAACTTACCTTTAGGAAGTTTACCTCCCAGTACAGTAAATTTCTGAGGGTTTTTCAAGAATTCTACAACTTCTTGCAACTCTTGCTTAGCTTCTTCAACCTGTATTCAATGAAACGAAGGGAAATATATTTGTTTATAAATTGTGTCAATGTTTCATATTGAACATTTTTACAATAGTTTGGGCTCTTTGTACTAATTTTAGGTAGATTATAATTACAACCATGAAAATTACTTTTAAATGTCCCCTGAAGGCATGCAAGAGAGTGACTGAATGTCATCGGCAGCATGGCATGCCTCCGAGTCTCCCCTTCCTACCCGCCGCAAACAAGAGCGCGCCTCCCTTTGTCTCTCCTTGGCTGAAGCAATGACAGTCTAGCAATGAAAGCTGGTGAGTCTTTGCAATGAGCAGCCAATCCAGCCAATGCCGCTGCCTGCAACCCACTCCGATGACTGGCAGTCCTCCGATCGCTGGGTTGCCAAAGTTCACTAAGGAAAGTCCTGCTCTCTCTTCCAAAGGCTGCAGGGAGAGCGCACCCTACACACTCTCAGGGAGCAATGTAAAAACACACCTGGGTGGCAGTCTGGAGAAAATCGACGACCAGAACAGCGCCATGATCTTTAATTGACCTGACACTGGGGCTTCTACACTATTTTCTGTGCTCTTGTTCCCTCTTTGGCCCCAAGGGAACCCCTCTGTTATGCATCACTCCATCCAGTTCCAGAAATGGCATCTGACAGTTGGCACTCACTGGGGATACACTCCTTGCCTTCTGCAATGAAACAGGGCTACCCCATACCTCCTCCCTTGATGAGGATTCCTCCTCCTTTCCAGTGACACACTTCACTTTTAAAGATGTTCCCCACCCCACACACCTATCAGTAACAAATATGGTCTTTGGCACTGGAAGAATCAGTATCATGCCCATGATTATTTGGTTTCCTGGGAACTGTAGCAGTGATGTCTCTACTTTCAAGCCTCCCAGGGTTGAAAATCTACTTTGCCATGTAGATTCATTCACATTATAATTAGGTCATTTTAATTCTCTTGATCTAAAGGAAGTATTTTATGCAGAAAGTCCTTACAAATTCTCATTTTGCCAAATTCTGCCATTTTCAGGAACTGATTATTTCAATTCATCTGAACAACTACTGGACATCCCAACACCTTAACTTACTCCTTTGACGTGTTCAAAAGTTACATTTTTCATCTGAACAGGGTCCACTGATGCATCAAGTCCAGAGGCTGCTCGAAAACGCACTGCAAAGTAGACAAAGCCATTAGGTCTACATTTTTCTCACAACACTTTTTTTTACTCTTAGTGTTACACTGATGAATGTACAACTAAATAATTCTTCAAAAATATGACTGATTATACTTATACCTCACTCTAACGTGACTGTCAGGAGAGGTCGGGCCAAGAACTGTTTAGTTTCAGAAATAATGTACCTCAACACCAAGTATTCCTATAACATTAACCAGTTGAATTCTGTTTCTTAGCACAGTAAGTTGCAACAAGGTTCACTGATTCAATGGGAATTTGGTGAGTTCCATTGATTCACATAGGTACTACACCATAAGTCACAACTAGAGTAGGCTCATTTAAATCAATGGAATTTATGGAGGAGTCGACTTACTAAATCCCCACTAATTCAATGAGTGTGCTCTAGTGCAACTTATTAAGATAAGCAACAGGACTTCAGTCACTGAGTCCCAAACAAATACTGCAAATGTTTGTTTCTCCCACAACATTTTAAGCAGTTCAGCACCCTCTGAATCATATCACCTATGTAACCAAACTTCTATTGGGAGAGCATTTACCCAAATAAGTGCAACAACATCTTAAAGAAGATTATGGAGAAATATATAAATATAATATTGAATATCTGCTTTTAAGACTTCCTGGTACAGAATTATATGTTTACAAATAGCAGCATAAACAGAATTAAAAGCATCTGCACTGTACAGTACTGGAAAACATTACCAAGATCATGCCACTCAAGATCATGCTAAGACTGAACTGCCTATAGCTTAAACAAAATATGTCTAATTAAAAGATATATTCTTCCCAAATACTGTTTTAGAAAAATTAAACATTAGCCATAACCAGCGGATTACTGTAGACAAGAATGAACTATTTGTGAGTTTATTCAGCTTATGATCGTAATTGTTAAATGATTATATCTAACACAGTTGTAAGCTAGTGCATAAAGAAAAAGTGAAAATTTAAAAGAATGAAAAGTTAACAAACCAGTATCAGAAAAGGAGCCTTTACCCGATAAAAATGGATTTTTAAACAAACCATAAACACCCAGGATCAATATAGCAGCAAGAATGAGACGGGTTCGTCTTAAGGCATCTGAAGAAGAAAATAACATATGAATGCATGATAAACTTCCCACAAGATACAGGAAGCCAATAAGCAGAATCAACTAGATCAGCTGATGGATGTGTCAGGGAATGAGAACAGTGACAAAAGTACAGTAGATAGAGGAGAAATTTACATCTTGTTATATTTCTTCTACAAATGTAATGCAATACAGGAGAATGGTCACAATGGAAATTTATTTGCCAAAACATTTTTCTATAAACAGTGTAGATAAAAAAATACACCAACTGACCATTTGTACGTTGAGAGTGCTCCTGTGCTTTGAAAAAACCTTCAGCAAACCCAGTTTTAAAGGCTTCTTGATGAGCTTCAGGTATGTGTTTTGTTTTCATCACCTTTTCTAAACTTTCCTCCACAGGTCGTCTATCTCTTAGTAGAAACCCCTAAGAATATGATTTAAAAACCAGCTATATTACTATTTAAATAACAACCAATTCTTACAAGGAACAACCAAATCCCTTATTTTATTCAAATGTTTCTGCCCTGTAATGTTCCTTGGTATCAGGAACACTTAATTTAAAAAAATTAAGAAGTATCAGTACAAAAGCATTTATAAATATTTGTTTGATTTTTAATTAGTTTGTAAAAGAAACGAATAAAAATAAAAGAACAAACTAAATATATTAAATGCTTGAATTCTAACAAACATCAATAAATTTTGTGGATTTAATATTTCTTGATTTCCACCATACATTAGCCATTGGAACCCTTCCATAAATAGGTGATTAAGAGCTGTAAGGCCACTATCACACATACTTGGAAATCTAATTCATAGCTCAGAAAACTATTTTCTAAGAATACTGAAAAATCATTAAAATAAATGAAGTGAAATCTCAACTATCTAGAAGTTGATAAGACATTCTTATTGCTGGATTATAAAATATCTTTTTTTTTTTTGGACTTATATACTGCCCCATAGCGCTACAAGCACTCTCCGGGCGGTTTACAATTTACTTATACAGGCTACACATTACAGTTCCACTCAACTGAACTTGCGAAGCTTTTACATAAGAAAGATTGCTATTTATTATTTAGTTCATGGTGGTTTCTCCTGCATACCCAGTGCAATTTCTTCCTTAGTTATCTTTTTCTACATAAACACTCCAATTAGATAATTAATCTCATCTGCACACTCATCTTGATATGAAAACCCAACACTTACTTTTTATACAATTTTACCTATTTTGTTTTCCAATTTAAACAGATTCTTCAGAAGATTATTGTTCTCCTAGCTTTTTTCAGTGACTCCAGCAAAAAGCTAGGAGAACAATAATCTTCTGAAGAATCTGTCATGCCATAATCATGATGTAAAAGATCCTTACCTTTACAAATGAGGGAACAACAGTTTCTGTCTCTGTTGCATGTTCTGATGTTGACTGCAGCCGTCTTGCTTTTGATTTCAGAGTCTTAAAACCTCGGGACTGAATGAAAACTTAAAACATACAGGGATGTATTATACTTAAACAGCCAATGTCCTGTTGGATATTTATGTTGACATCAAGTGTAATTATGTGACCTGCTATGGTGATACCACTAATTAACGTGTTGTGACCTGGCACACAACCAGTAATGCAAATGGCAACTCAATCAGAAGTATCCACTGCTGCAATTTATGCAATTACACTTATACTGGTGTGACTCCCCAGTAAGACTGATCAACATCATACTACACATTTAGTAGTTTCCTTGTAAAGCAATTTATATTACACAGGGGTGTCTATTGTTCAAATTAAAGAAACCAAAATCTCTCAAACAAGCTTAGAAGAGGCATCCTGATAACAGTTATGCTATTTAAGCAATGCTGGTACAATCCTATACATGATGTTTCCTCAGACCCTAATTCCACAGTATTCAATGAGGCCTATTCCAAGGAAAAGTGCGTAAGACTAAAATGTACATTATAGAGGTGCCATAACAAGACAGAACAGTAATTGAGATGTAACTGTGTTTTTAAGCACAACTTTGAAATTTATATTTTTCTAGAGAGGCTCAGCAACTGAAGATCTTCTCTATATAAGAACGTAGACTTAGGGGATCTTGAAAGTAACTAGTTTTATTTGACATAAGGTTTTTGTGGCCTATGGACTAGTTTCTCACAAATAGTTATGGTTCACAAATGCTTAAGCCAAATAAAACCTGTTAATACAAGAATTTTTGTAGCTTTCATTGTAACAAAGTCAACAGTTTCAAACAGTTAACTTCCTGGACATTTCTGAGTTTTCAAAAGCTGCTGTAGTTGGGAGGAGTTGCAGAAAAAAGTTGTTTTTGATGATATCATTCAAATCACAAATTTGAACTTTGAACCCATGTATCCATTGCCACACTAGCACATGCTAGCTTCACATGGCAACTCTTGATCTTAACCAGAGTTCAACCCATAATCCTGTACTTAAGCAATAAATAAACGATACTAGATGGCTCATAATTAGCCATTTACTTTTGTGAGGAAGAATAAAAGACTATGGCAACTATTTCCAAGTTCAAACATGTTATTTTATACTTGATTAACACAAAAATGGAATGTTATCAGCCTATATCCAGATTCTTGTTTTTGCAAACAGAAACGACTGAACTCCAAGAAACTTGGTGAAGTGATTTCTACTTCTTCCTTCCCCCTAATCCTAGGGAACCACTTCTTGCGCTATTGCAAGGGATCACCCAACATTCTGGAATAACATTTCAGGGGAAGAAATCGGCAAGCATCACCTTCTCCTTCAAGCAGAATTATTTCCATGAGCACAGTTCTACTGGTTGAAAGTTCTGTATCTAAACCACAGCATACTTCCTTCCTTGATTTGTTAACCATATTCAGAAATAAGGAATTTCCAGCTTCCTACCTGGCCAACGCTGAAGATCTGAACGTATGCTCTGGAGGGGGCTAGGATTTCGTCTGTATGGGTACGATGAATGCAAGACTCTAAAGACATCTGGGAAACCTAAAAAATGATGATAAAAATTACTTATTTCTCTTTTGACATAAAAAGACTAGAACTGGTAAAATTTGGTATTTTGCTTTGAAACTTTATAATTTTTAAAATGAGGTTAAAATATTTGGGTTTAAAACTGGATTTAGCCCCGAATCTACACTTTACTGCCATTAAGAAAGCTCCTTCAAAAGAGTAGATATTAGCATACAGATTCAACAAAGTATATTTCTATAATTTCTAAAAAATTGAGATACTTCTATAGTTTGCGGGGGGGGGGGGGGTTTTACCATAAAAGAAAACATTTTGAAATAGAAGTGCACCTGCAGCCCTCAGTATAAAAAAATTGAAACCCAACATAGTGTGCATTCTTGTACTATTTAAAATTATTGCAACCTATCTACCTTTACAACACAATTTGAGGACAAATTTGTGGATATGTAATTATAGAATAAATATTACATTTCCTTTTTTTTCTCTGAACAATTTCAGCAAACTCTTGGGATGGAACCCTCCACATATCTTATCCAGTGCTCAGGCAAAACAACTGGGCGTAGGTTTGAGCTCCTTCTCTATTCAATCCCTAGCTCTGCAAACAGGTGCTCCAACCTACTAAACTATACCAGTCTATATAACAACAGTAACAGAGATGGAGAGTGTACAATAGTTTAAAATTTCAAGAAAAGGATCATTATTGGAAGCAATGTTAGGTGGCAAACAGTTGAAAATATGTTTTAAAGGCACATGGTACAGCACCATTGCTAAACCTAAGCAGCTTCTGGACAACAAAGCACTTCAGAACCTCAAGTGTGCTATTACAGTTCAATAACAAAGTCAAAACAGAAAAAAAATAAACGAGAAGTTTCAGAAATTGGTACAGTGGACTCATTACTTCTTAAATCTGGCCTCGAAACCCATTTCTGTGACCCCATTATTTCCTACATTTTAGGAAGGAGCAAGAGAACTGCAGAAAGCTAGTGGCGTTTGTGTTTGTGTGTGTGGGGAGGGGGGCAGTAAAAATGGCCATTGAAGCTTCTGAAGGTACGGCAACATTTACCTTCAAGTAGTTACAAGATGATGGACACTACTGTGTTTCCCCCAAAATAAGACAGGCTCTTATAGTGTATTAATTTTTGCTTCAAAAAAACACATTAGGACTTATTTTCAGGGGATGGTCTATGTTTTTCATGTACAGCAATCTACATTTATTCAAATACAGTCATGCCATCTTCTGGTTGCTGCACAATAGTGGAGGGTGGGGTTTCACCTAACTGGGGCTTATTTTTGGGCTTATGTTACGAACATCCTGAAAAATCATACTAGGGCTTATTTTCAAGTTAGGTCTTATTTTGGGGAAAACTGGGTAGTGTACAAATTTTATACAGTATTTATAAAATTTATATTTACTAATATTTATAAATGTAAGGCTGTCAATATTCGTTTTACAAATTTCTAATTCTTCTATGTGATGATAACAACATCCCCACCACCAATATCAACAGTAGTCGTTTGCATATTATAACTAGGATTATGTAAATAAAATAATCAAAACAGGGAATGGCAATACTAGCAAAATGGTAAAAACAAAGAATGGCAAAAATAAAACTAGCATAGGTTCTTGACTCCTGTTGGCATAAAAATGGCCTTTCCAGAGAAACTGGCATAGCAACCACACAGAAAACAGGTGTGTCTCAATACCAGTGTGATTGGGTTATTTCTCTGTTGGGGGTGGGTCTTTCTTTTCCACAGGAAAAATAGACGGAGATGAGGATAATGGTACAAACAGGGCTTCTTTATTCTTTTTAACTTCTGAGTTATCAACACAAAAAGGGTCCAACAAACTCAACTCTGGCAATAATTTGTAACTCTTAACATTCGTTCCATTTCCATTCTTTACTGTTCATTCCCTCTTCATCCCATGAGGAGTTTGAACAGTTTGGTTCCAGGTTGGGAAACTCAAGGCTGCACAAATCATCCTGCAACAGGGATGTTTTACCTAGTTCCCCTCCAGATATGGCAGGTAACTGGTGGTACCAATGTAAGTTAGCTTCTTCCTTATATCTTGGGGACGTGGCACCGCTACCATATTCCATTCCATCTTCAACTTAGGCTTGTCTTTCTCCACCAAGTTCGGGGGATCTGGCAGTAAACCTCTTCCAGTTCTGAGGTTTGGGAACTCATGAACTAATTCATCTGGTTCATAGCTTTGAAGCCCCTTTTCCTCTGTCTGCACAGCTTGATCTTCTCTCTCAACTTCATACTTCCTCCCTCCTTTTTTTCTCTTCCTCCTCCTTTATACTCCCATCCCACCTCATCAGATCAACTCCTCCCCTTCTCTGGCTTGTCTACCCTCTGCCAGGAATACCTCTACTGCCTTATTCCATCTCACTTCTCTTTCATCTATCTGGATCAACTCTCCTACAGCACAGCCAGTCACTAACTCTTGTCTGTTATCCTCGGAGGACAGCACACTAGGCTGCTCTTCTTCACAATCAGAATATCAGGGTATGTGGCACAACATTGCCCAAGACTCAATTCTGTAAGTGACTCCACACTCCCATTATGCTTAGACAATATCTTAAAACCTACCATACTTATTTTCAAAGAAGGACTCCGCAGATATATATGATGTTTGCCAATGTGAAGGAATTTTGTTTTCTACAGAAAACCCAGGAAGTAGGTTGTCCACCAGTTCCTCAAGTTGTCTAGCTTTCAAATCAGAGAGTCCCAGGTCACGCAGATTAAGTACTGGCTGTAAAAAAACAGATAAAGCTGCCAAACATTTATGGAAATTTATTTCAAAGTTAAGATCCAACAATTAAGAATTGAGATGTCTTCTTTCTAAAAATGTTCAGAAAGGAAGAAGCAGGCCAGAAACCACTTACTTTTTATTTCATTTCTGGATGCCCAGGCATTCATTTTGTGTTTAATACTTCTTCAGACTATTAAATTTCCTATCAATTAATTAAATTGTGTGGTCCTCCAGTCCAAAATTTGAATTTGGTTTCTTTTACTCAAATATAAATAGTACATGCAGGCAATGAAAGGCTAATTTTTCATACTGTTATGAATAATAAGTTATAACTGAAGTTAACAAAAACAACTTAATCAACTATGCACAAAGAAATATTTACACAGTAACTTGATTGTATACTTTAAAAAACCACATAGTATTGTTGGATTTCTGCAGACAGCACCAAACAGTAAACAACATGGGAAGAATCTCTTGAAAGTAACACTTGAATTATATTACATGTGAATAATGCTAAACAATATACACACATATAAATCTATTATCCCACCCAAGAACTCTTACCTCACTGCTCTGCACATCATGTTCAGGTGCTATTTCCTTCTGCACATACTGAGTAGATACTGCAGTGAAAGATGGAACTGGACTTTTGAGTGAATGGAAGGCATTGATGAGATGACTCAAAGGAACTGTGACCTGATATAAAAATTATGCGAAATTATTTAAGATGTTTCTGCTTTTAAAACATTTATAAACACTCTATGCAATTTAGACAGAAAATATTAATACAACACATACTGCCTGCCTAGTTATCTCTAAATGTCTTTAAATATTTACTGGACTCCACAGGATAAGGAAGAAATATAATCACTTTAGAGACAGAAACTGAAAAATGCAGTCAGTAAGAATGAAGTTACTATGATACCAATTAGGCTTTGAAACCCGATATGTGCCAACTTAATTAACATCTTATCTATAAACAAACTTAATCTCTCTATATTTTAAATGCTTTTTCAGTCTATAACCTTTCTGTCAGTACCTTCACTTTACAAAATATACACGCTACTGGATTTTGTAGTGCAAAGTTATAACTTTCCAAGAAAGAGATTATGGAAATTACTTCTGGCTGCAACTCCTACACTCGGGGAGCTTGGAAGTTACCATTCAAAAAAGTGGCTTTCTGGATCTCTCTCCCCCTACAACTATGTTCTTTAATAAACTTCTCCAGCCCTCCTTATGCTCTTTCCTTCCCAAATTCCTAGTTGCATTATGCCCAACATTCTACATACGTACTGATGCAGGAAATTTTCTCACTGGATACTACTGCCTCATGGCGCAGTGGTTAAACCGCTGTACTGCAGCCAAAACTGTGCTGACGACCTGGGGTTCAATCCCAGGTAGCCAGCTAAAGGTTGACTCAGCCTTCTATCCTTCCCAGGTTGGTAAAATGAGTGCCCAGCTCTCTTGGGGGGGGGCAATGTGTAGCCTGCATAAGTAACTTGTAAACCTCCCAGAGAGTGCTTGAAGCGCCATGGGACAGTATATAAGCAGCACGCTTTGCTTTTGCTCTGCCTCAAAATTCTCACATATCTCATCTGAAGATGAAGAATACATACATTCGCCCAAAAAGCTGAGTTGCTGAAAGGAAGAATACAGACTTTTTACACTAACACAAGTCCACATAATGTAAAAGATGCAAGTAGCTGCCACTTTTTTCTAATCCTTTCAACAAGATGATCTCACATGTTACTTACTAGGGTTACCTGCTGTCAAGTAGGAACCAACTTATAACAACCCGAATAAGGCTTCCAAGCTAAGTGAAATATGTAAGGAGTGGTTTTACCAGTTCCATATATCCCCAGTCAGCTTCTATGGCTGTGTAGTGATTCAAACCCAGCCCTCCTGAGCTCTACTCTATCCACTACACCACTGTAGATAATCTGGGTCACTGGTTCTTAACCTTTGTTACACAGATGTTTTTGGACTGCAACTCCCAGAAGCCTTCACCATCAGCTGTGCTGGCTGGGGTTTCTGGGAGTTGCAATTCAAAAACACCTGAGTACCAAAGGTTAAGAACCACTGATCTAGGTTACTGATTGCCCACTGGGATTTTGTCCATATTTGATACCCCAAGCATATCACTCAGAGACTGTTTTCAAACTGCCACAGATTGTAAATCAAGCCAAGATCGAAGTCAAAATTCTTCCACATGTGGTCAAATTACTTCAGTTTGGAGCTTTCTGAAAAGAACATCTTCTGTTCAAAGACAGTACTGGGCTAGACTGATCAATAATCATGTAAGGCAACTACATAGGTTCCTTGTTCTTATCCACTACATACTGTATTAGTACAGCCTCTGAGGTCTCAAAAACGGAGCTCCCAACTGTCCTCTGAACCTAAAGCACTGCCAATTCACCTACAGGTTTCCTATACCGGCAGCCACAATCCAATAGGAAAAGGCTTAGGTGTGTGGGAGGTATAGTTCATAAAATGGCAATTAAACTAGAACATAATAAAAACTTTGTAGCATTACGAAATTGGATAATTTCCAGTGGATAATTTCCCTGCACTGCTTTATACCAGAATTCCATATCCTAAGAAATTCAGGAACAGTAGGTTATGTTAACAGTAAAAGCTGTTTCACAGTTAACTGTTGGAATTATCCTGCAGAAGATGCATTAAGAATCCTTTGTTTCCTCAGCTTTAACAGAAGATTACATAAAAGGATGAAGAACAGACCGGTGATCCGCTTCATCAAGGCCAATTCCACGGAGCCTGCACATTCAGGGGCATTACACCTCCGAATACCAGAGGCCGAAAACATTCANGGGGGGGGGGTGCTGGCTCGCTGGGTCGGGATTTTAGTTGCGAACTAGGAAGCGTATTTGGCTCGCAGGCTTCTTCGAGGCCCCTGGCTATTCGCGAATGAGCAAAGAACCCGACAAATCCCTTATTCGTCCTTAAGCATTTCCCCGCTGGAAGTCCTCTCTCTCCCTCTCACCCCCCTCCCACTGTTGTCACAAACACACACACACACACACAGAGGTACACACACACACACACACACACACACACACACACACACACACACACACACACACACACACACGTCTACCAATCCTTCTCCACCCCCGCGGCCATCGCGGTTGGACGGGACCCCTCTTCAGCCTCCGCAACGCAGAACAATAGCGACGTCCCACAACGCATTCCAGCGGCCTCCGCTACCGACCCCGCGGGCCTTCCTTTACCTGAGGCTGCACGGTGGTAGAAAAGGAAAACATCCTCCTCGCCTCCGCCCCCGAGGCAGGCGGACCAGCACTCTGAAGACGGCTTCTTAGCTTCTCCGGCTCTGCCTTCCGCAGGAAAAAACGACTCGGCAGCTATTCCGCTCTATAGGAAAATGGCCGCCTCATTCCGCCGGCACAGGCTCCGCCGACTCCAGTCCTAGGGCGGACTCCAGTCCCGGAAACAAGACGTGACTATAGTACTTCCGGGTCATTCTGTTTACCATCTCCTCCTCCTCCCCTCCCGTCCAGTGATTGGCTGGGTGAAGCGGCAGGCCTTCGACAGAATGAAGCAGATGACGTAGGCATAGACCGTTGGGCTTACGTAGGACGAATCATATGTTTTATTAATTTATAATATTCGGTTTTCTGCACAGTAGATGGACTGATTTCGAAGTGGCTGTGATGGCCCCTGCGCTGTTTCGAGAGCGTGTGGGCTTTTTGGAAGGATTGGTTTTCAAAACTTTTTAGAGGATGTTTTTCATCTGCTTTTAATAATTTTAATACTGTATATTGCTTCGAGAGCCCTGGAGGCCAGAAATATAGTAGCCAGTTTCAAGTACTGTACAGTATATGAATGAGTAGAGCATGTACAGCATGGCTTTTTGTGGTCTACAGTCTGCCCCCAACCCAGCCTTAGTGGAGAGCATTCCAATATTCCAACACCCACTCCATTGGTATAATCAGGATAAAGTTCTGTTAATTTGTTTCCCCGAGTGCTCCTCGCTCTAATTCTGGATCGTGGCCATATGAGGAAGGCTATGGTGATTTACTGTACACCTTTAAAAACAAAGCCCAGGGTAAGTGAGACAAGCCTCCTTTCAAATGTGATTCTGACATTTGGAAGGGGTTTACAAAATCTCCCCTCACACTTTCATGGGGCCATTAAGTTGCTATAAACCCAAAACCAGCAAAAATTTAGAAATCTGGTTGTTGTGGGTTTTTTGGCCGTGTTCTGAAGGTTGTTGTTCCTGACGTTTTGCCAGTCTCTGTGGCCGGCATCTTCAGAGGACAGCACTCTGAAGTTTAGAAATTTCTTAGAATCTCTGAGATTTAGAAATCTCTTAGAAAAGAAAATGAGTTTGAATCTCATACCTTTTTAGGGGAAGAAATGATTTTTCCTGGTTCTGATTTGGCCCAGAATCAAATGCATCACTTTTTTTGTGCAAGGGTCGTGTTGCTCTAATTCAGGGTTCTTACATGTTGCATTACTCCTGTTACTCTCGGCTATCATAATCAGTAATTGAAATCACAATAGTTGTAATCCATCTATATCTGAAGAACTACATATTTTTCACTAAAAATAGCGCTGTACTGTAGTATGACTTTTTACTTTTCTGCTTTATTATTGTGCAGCAGACATTTAGCATGAGCTAATTACTGTTCCAACTGACCAGACAGCTCTGTGTTATAGGCATCTGGTTGCAGAGCCATAGACTGGGAGTTCAGTTCCCCACTGTGTATCCCAGAAGCCAGCCTGTTTGGCCTTCAGCACCGTCCCAGGGCACATCACTCAGAAGAAAGGAATGCTAAATTATTTCTGTGCATTCTCTACATAGATAACCCTGGAAAGGGTTGCAATCAGTCACTATTGACTAGACAGCATGCTATTATTATTTAATAAATAATGTTCTAGGTTTTTAATGTATTCTTTTACTTCTTATTCTTTTCCCACTGGTTATCATAATAGCTGTATTGACCTTGGATGCAACCATTCCAAACAATGATGTGCCAGTATCCAAAAAAGGTTCACATGCTTTCCGGTCAGTAACTTCTCGCTGCTTATCTTTTTGTTTCACCTTGAAAGTTCAACTGTGGTCAACACTTTCAAAGTTTATAACCAGTGTGAATAGTACAATTGTCATTTTCTGCGCCCTGTTTCATTCTTATCCCTGTATAACATTTTTACATAATATAAATATATATCATATACTGTGTAACTCTGTGTCTTAAATATTACACTCCAAGGATTTGAGGAAATGGATTGTAACCCAGGGAAATTCACACTCAAATAAATCTCTTGATCTTAAAATGCCCCAGGGATTAATGTTCAATTTTATTTTTGTTAATATGGGTGTGTGTGTGTCACAATAGTTAAGTGGATGGCGGGAAATACAAGGTGATGGGAAAAGTGACATACTGAAAATGATGTTTCTAGTTGTAGGCCGTAAATCACTGCATGTGAGCTGTAACCAAATACTGTACTCAATTCAGATATTATTCCCATTCAGGTACAGTATTACTCTCAGAGCCAATGAATATTTAGTTATGTTTCATTTGTGTATCGGCATTTTATCTAGCATTTTATTTATTTTCCCCGTATGTCTGACGAAGTGGACGTGTCCACGAAAGTTCACATTAAAATATAATAGTTCTGAAGGCACCACCTGCTGTTGTTTCTCTCTTTTTTCGTTTCCTTTCGTTTTGTTTCTTCGAATTTTCCCCCATATGAAAATAACGGGGCTCTCCCGGTTGCCTTGGCAACGGGCACGTCGGTGCGTTTTTCGGTTGCTGACGTGTGACGTCGGCCGTCCCCCCCTGGGGGCGGAGCTTCGCTTTGAATTGTCGCGGGGCAGAGCTGAGGCTTCCGCAGGGAAGGCGGGTGGGGGGGAAGCGGGAAGGGGACCCAACGGGCTCGGCCGCGTCGAGGAACCCCCGGGGGGCGACCATGGGGACGGTGGAGGCCGGAGGCCGCCCGGGCGAAGAGGCGGCGGCGGCGGCGGAAGAGACCGACGCCTTGCTGGAGAGGCGCCTCGCCGTACCCCGGCCGCCCTCCATCCAGGACTTCGCCATCGTGAAGCCCATCAGCCGCGGCGCCTTCGGGAAGGTCTACCTGGGGCGCAAGGGAGGGAGGCTCTACGCCGTCAAGGTGAGCCGCCCGCCGCCGGCGTGGGGCTGCTCGGAGGGAGGGAGGGAGGGAGGCTCGGCCCTGCCGACTTGTTTGCTCGCTCGCCTTCTCGGAAGCGCCCAGAGATGAATTGGCAAAGGGGAGGGGGAGAAAGCAAGCAAACACTCTGTAATTTTGCGGAGAAATGCCTCCCCTGGCAGCTGCACATCGACACATGGCTGTGGATCGGAGACGTGGTTGTGCTTAGAAAAATCCTGGGAAAAATCAACGGGACAGAAGGTGCAACGCGGGTCTCCTTGCCGGTATAAGTGGATCCAAGCCTTTGCCAGAAGCATCAGAACACAGTAGTTGTGTTTTTTTGCAGGCGAGGCGTTCTGTCCTGGTTTCCATTTGTAAATTGACACCCCAATATTGATCAATTTTCCATGAGAGTCATACATGTATCCCTTTAAAAAAAAGCTTTTGGGGCTCCTATGTTCACATGAGTAGCTAAATTAGCAAGGAGCAAGGTGCTGTACTCCTGCTCTGGAAAGGTTTGCATAACTAGTCAGTGAGATGCCAGGCTGCATATCTGTGGCTCAGTCAGGCTTGTGACCAGCCATGTGATCCAGGTGCACCCCCAAGACCTCATCACTTAGCCTCTATTAAAACACTGAAAGTTGCATAAACATGAGCACCAGTCAGATAGTGACCATGGATCTATATACAGTATAACACAAAGTAGTAGGTTCCCAGTTCAGAAAAGCATTAATAGGCATAATAACTAAACTTAAATTTGTCTGCTGTGTTGAAAATGCCCATTCATATTATTGCCAATGTTTATAAAAATTATACAGTTGTGCAGGTAATTTTTAAAAGTTACTGAATTGTATCATGTTCAGATATTCAGTCAGCTGTGCAGACATGCCTTAATATATAAATTTGGTATGACACATATTTAAAACTTTTTTTAAAAAAAAGTGTACTATAGCTTCTTGTTGCAGTTTGTCAGACTGCCAATGTTTATATCAAGGAAGCATTTACCAAAAATTCTGGTGCAGTTTTATATTTCAAATGGCATAGTATCATAGTGAATAGGATTTCATTCCTTTTCAGTTGTTCAAACATGTTAGTGGTAAATTACCCATGGCTTAGTGAGTTAGGTAACTGACTGTTGAGCCAGAGGTCAGGAGTTTGTTTCCCTGGTTTTCCTCCTGGCAGAAGAGCCAGAAAACCATGGAAAGATCATCATAAATTCACCTTGGCTTGATAGTGTGTAATGAATTAATATTATTTTACTCTAAATATGAGCAGGTTTAGATCTGTGACATCAGCCTTGAGAAACAGGAAAAAGTCTGAGAACACAAGATTTTTTAGAAGGCTCCAGTGTTAGTCCAGAAATTAAGTTAAGAGGAAGCTTGGTCAATTTTTCTAGCATGCTTAAGAGAGGTATTCTTGAGGATAGGTGTGCCCTTGGAATATGCATTCCAGTGAACTAGGTTGGCAAGTGTTGGAAACCATGCATTAATGAGCTTGTACAGTACTTAATATTTAGGACCAGAATCCTGTTGGTTATATGATCATGGAAGGGCAGTAGCACAACCAGTGCTAGCTATCTTTCCAGCTGTCCTTTTCATGCTTGCCCGTTTTCTAGTTCTGCAATCAATTAATCATTCAAAGGATAGCTTGGAAATGGCAAAACCTGCTTATGGTAAAATGCAGTAGGATTCTGGTCTAGGTGACAGGGTGGATTTGATTTAAATCAAATGGATAAAGGATGAATAAAAATCAATGATAAAAAAGCAATTTAAATCACAATTTAAATATTAAAAAATCAGATTTGTTTACAATTTAAATCAAAAATAGATTTTTTAAAATTTAAATTTGGATTTAAAGAAACTTTTTAAAAAAATTATTATTTTTAATCCACCCTGCTAGGTGAGGGAAATAAATGTGGATAATAATCTGTGATGGATCACAGTATGAAAAGGTTTGTCTGAAAAAGCTGATTTTACCAGTGAGTTAATGTGGGTAATTAAAAAAGAAAAGGAGAAAGCGACTTCTCTTCCATGCCCTAACTTCTACATACCTTGTTTTACAGGTAGTAAAAAAAGCTGATTTGATCAATAAGAATATGGTCCACCAGGTGCAGGCAGAAAGAGATGCTCTGGCTCTTAGTAAAAGTCCTTTCATTGTGCACTTGTATTATTCTCTTCAATCTGCCAATAACGTCTATTTGGTGAGTAAACAATACTTTAAAGCAACTTCCTATATATATATAGATTATCATTGTACTTAGCTTACTACCCAACTAAAATCTCTCTTGTTCAGTTCTTGAACACTAATTGTGACTATTTTGAGCTAGCCAACTGGGCAAAGTAATAGAGACCATAGGTATAATCTTCAGTAGGGTAACTTTAATATGGACCTATTGTGTTTGAGCTGAATCTCAGGTTTTGCTTATATTCTAGTTGCTAATATAGCTAATAATAATTGCATATAGTTGGAGGTCATTATAGATGTTTATAGAGTGTCAGGCATATTCCATAAAATGTGTTTGAGATAATTATATGGTTGCTACTGTATGCCAGGATAGCAATTGATTTGTGTTTCACAGTGATTTTTTTCATTGGCAGGTAATGGAGTATCTCATTGGTGGAGATGTTAAATCTCTTCTTCACATATACGGTTATTTTGATGAAGAAATGGCAGTGAAGTACATTTCTGAGGTAGCTCTGGCCCTTGATTACCTTCACAGGCATGGAATAATCCATAGGTAAACTTGGTTTATTTTTCTTTTACTCCTTTATATTTTTCCAGCCAAGATTACGTTTGGTAGACCAGGCACATTTTAAATTGTAGCAATATGATTTGCCCTACTACACCCTCATGCCACTTTTAGTATAACTTCTGTAGCAGTTCATCACAGTTCCTCAAATATGAGGTCTCTTGGCCCAAGTACATTTTTCCTGTAATCCTAACATTGAGCAACTCAAGCTGCCAGAAGTACCTTGAGATAATGGTCTAGCCAGGAGCCATTTTCAGACCTCCTCCTTCTTTCTGAGGGGGAAGAGGTCTTGGGGGTAGATGGGAATGCCTAATGGGCCAAATTTAACCTGTAGGCCAGAGGCTCTTTGTCCCTCTCCTAGTAGGATTTTGTTTTCAAAACAAAAGACCAAACCTCTTCAAAGCCAAACAGATGCTATGTCACTTAAGCCTTATAGAATCACTACCTACTCAATTGAGCTAAGATGTGAAGAGTTGGATGTGCTAGCCTCCTCCAATCGCTTTGTGCGTGAGGGAAGTGGCCAGTCTGAAAAGGTAGAGTTCCTCTGCATGTGGAAGCTTTCCATGTAAGCAAGATTTTTGGTTTCTTCCACAAATGGAAAGCCCCGTGTATACAGAAACCTCTTTTTTTCATAATCTGCTTTTTGTTTGAGGAGAGTGGAAATGAGGTGGGGCTACCATGGTTCTTGCAGCTTGGCTAAGTCGCTGAATAACAACTAGATGGGATTTTAGTTTGACATATCTTTCTGAATACACGTCCTTCTTCGTTTTAACTTAGAATAAATAACTTATTACATTTCGGAATGACTTCATGTTTTCAGGGAGGAGGCGGAATAGGTTGATCAAGAACCAATGGTCTATCACAGTGGTTTCCAACCTTGGGTCCCCAGGTGTTCTTGGACTACAACTCCCAGAAAGCCTGGTCCGCACAGCTAGTGGTGAAGGCTTCTGGGAGTTTTAATCCAAGAACATCTAGGGACCCAAGGTTGGGAACCAATAGTCTACAGGGAAACGTTATTTTTGTGGTGGGGGGGCATTTTATGAATGTTTGTTGTGATTAATTTTTTTACTTGAGAACTATAGCAATGTTACTCACCTGACAATTAGGCCTCATTCCTTTAAAGAAATACTGTACTGTATGTAACGTGTATCTAGTAGAGAAATCTCCCTTTAATTGTTTGTGATAGGCATGTAGTACAGTATTTAGAATTGCTGAGCCAATGCATATAGCTTTTAGTTCTGATGGATAGTTACAGTATTACATTGTACCAAATGTAGAGTTGTGGATCTTTGTAAATGCAAACTAATACTAATATGACCTAATACTATAGTATGTCACATATACCACTAATTTTATTTAATTTTCTTTGTATCTGCAGGGATTTGAAGCCAGACAATATGCTGATATCAAATGAGGGCCACATTAAATTGACAGACTTTGGACTGTCCAGAGTTACATTGAACAGAGGTGAGACAACATACAGATGCAGAAGTGTGCGTGCGTGCATGCATGTATATGTGTGTGTATGTTGGTGAATAGAGTGGTGCCCCGCATAGCAACGATAATCCATTCCAGGAAAATCGTCGCTATACGGGGCAAAAAACCCCCATAGGAACACATTAAAACACGTTTAATGCGTTCCAATGGGGAAAAAACTCACTGCTATGCGGAAATCCTCCATCCAGCCGCCATTTTCGCTGCCCAGTAAGCAAGGAAAGGGCGCAAAAACGCTGCGGGGGCCATTTTATTTACCCGGTGGCCATTTTGGGACCACTGATCAGCTGCTTTCTAAACATCGCAATGCGCTTTCTAAACATCCCAATGCGAAAATCGGTAAGCGAAACGCTTACCGATCATCGCAATGCGATGTTTGCCCATTAAAAACATCGCAATGCGATTGCTTTTGCGATCACAAAATCCACATCACTATGCGGATTCGTCGTTAAACGGGGTGCTCGCTATGCGGGGCACCACTGTATATGAATGAGCATGTGGTTTCCAAACATATGTTAATATTTATGCCTACTTATGAGTGCAAATACTTTGTGTGCAATGTACTGTGTTTTAAGTGAATATTTTTGTGTAATATAGTGAATTAAATATTTGAAGAAGCTACATTGGAAATTTCTGTCCTTAAGTCAACACATGCAGGTTTATGAATAGCTCTTTGTCTGTGGCAGATATAGGTAATTGGCTTTCCATGTGCTTCTGGTTTGCAGCTCCTGTAATCCCTCACTATTGGCCTTATTGGTTAGGGGTAATGGACGCTGTAGGCCAAAAGTGTTGCTCACCTACTCCTTATAACACGGTGACTACAGTGGACCCTTGACTTACAGACTTTTTGAGTTACAGACTTCTCTGGCCGCAAAATTTAGGTTTGACTTGCAGCCTGAGAATTGACACAGACCAGAAAAAAACCAAAATGGAACAAAAATGGCCTGTTACGGGATTAATCGGTTTTCAATGCACTGTAGGTCAATGGAGACTTGACCTACAGACTTTTTGACATGAGAACCGCCTTCCAATACGGATTAAGTTCTCAAGTCAAGACCCCACTGTACTAACATGTCCTCCAGGACACTACCTTCAAGCCGCTTTGTTCTCTATTTTTCCAGATTCATAATGTCTACCAGTACAATCCTAAACAGGCAGTATCAATCAATCAATTTCTTTATTATGGTCACTGTTCATTAAAATATAGCATGTATCTTGCATGGTATAAGATGCTAATCATACAGAATGCACCCAATCCTCCTGGAAATTCCAATAAGAAAGGTTAAATTAAAAAAAATCTTATATCATTTTAAAAAGGATGGTATATATGAACACAATTTGACCTCACGAGAATCTCAAGGATTCTTACATTGGCATTTTAAATATATATACAGTGGTGCCTCGCTTAGTGAGTGCACCGTATAGCGATGTTTCCGTATAGCGATCCCTTTTTCGGGATCGCTATACGGAGATGGTATATATGAACACAATTTGACCTCACGAGAATCTCAAGGATTCTTACATTGGCATTTTAAATATATATATTTAAAACTTCCCTTCCAAAACTAGAGATGACAGAAAATTTAGATGGGTCAGAGTGAATGCACAACACTTTGGTACAGAGCAACTTAAAGATAATTTTCTGGTTTGAAAGGCAAAAGTGCTCTATTGGTTCACTCTTTTTTTTGAGGCTGAAGCTAGGTTGTGTTGGCAGTCTACTTAAACAGGAAGTAAAATTTCTTTAATACAAAGAGGCTTTGGATTGTGTTTGCAGTCAAAGGTATGTAAACACTTGATAAATGTAAACACTTGGACAAATCAGAATTTTGGTAGTCTAATCATTTGTGGAATAATTTGCAAAATGGTGTTTGAAAGACACTCTTGTTCTTCTTAAATATACTTCAGGCGGATCAGATGACATTTTCCCTCCTTAGTAACAATCCTGATCTTTCCAAGACTCACAGTTGTGTGCAGATGCTAGATTTGATGTACAAAGATTAGCACAACTCATGCAGCGTGACTGAGAGGGCTTTGAACATAGTTGCACAGAAATACCTAGCTATCTCGGAATAATTTGCAAAATGGTGTTTTAAAGACACTCTTGTTCTTCTTAAATATACAGTGGTGCCTCGCTTCTGATCAGATGACATTTTCCCTCCTTAGTAACAATCCTGATCTTTCCAAGACTCACAGTTGTGTGCAGATGCTAGGTTTGATGTACAAAGATTAGCACAACTCATGCAGCGTGCCTGAGAGGGCTTTGAACATAGTTGCACAGAAATACCTAGCTATCTGGCAATCTAACTTTGAAACTAAAGTGGCTTTTAATTGATGTGGCATGGTGAGGGGGTCTGCTGTTCACGGAAAGACGGCAGAAATCCTGGTGGTGATACCAAAACTCTGGCGAGCCTAAAGTAGTGCTTTGTGAAGTGGCCATTTGCCACAGATGAGTCCTTCAGCTATGATTTTTTCCCAAACAACACAGTATGAATAGTTTCGATCTATCTTTTCAAAAAAGCTTATTAAATACATTTGATTTCCTGTTGTTTATAGGGACTGCCCCTATAAACAAAGCAAAGCAAAACGAAAAAGCTGTATAGAGCACACAACTGCCCTGTTTTCAGCTTTATACTTCTGTGTTTTGTGGTAAGAATGGTCCTATGATATTAAAGCTGCTCCCCGGGTATTGGATTCAACTGCTGTGCTGTTGTCTTTATAGAGCCCATAACACAACCACAGAAAAACGTTAGGAGGAAATATTTTATTTCAGTTTATTTCAGTGAAATAATTCATGCGAAGCTTAGTACTCTCAAACTTTTCTCAGAGCTTAATATGATGGATATCCTCACTACCCCATCCATGTCCAAACCTAAGCAAGACTATTCGCGCACTCCTGGACAAGTGTTGTCTCTCATCAGCTCCTTTGGTTTTGTAAGTATTTAAAATAATTTGTTCCCCTAGAACTTTTATGGTATAATTTGAAGGTGAGCAAGCTCTGGGGGTGGTGGCACTGCAGGTTAAACCACAGAAGCCTCTGTGCTGCAAGGTCGGAAGACCAGCAGTCATAAGATCAAATCCATGTGATGGAGTGAGCTCCTGTCACTTCTCCCAGCTCCTGCCAACCTAGCAGTTTGAAAGAATGTGACTAGATAAATAGGTACTACCATGGTAGGAAGGTAACAGTGTTCCGTGTGTAGTCACGCTGGCCTCATGAGCATGGAAACTGTCTACGGACAAACGCTGGCTGTGTGGCTTAGAAACGGGGATGACCACCACCCCCTTGAGTCGGACACGACTGGACTAAAATGTCAAGGGGAGCCTTTACCTTTACCTAAGCTCTGGGGGATTGGGGCCAGTTTCTGTTCCTAGGATCTGCTGTGAGCTACAGCAGCCCCTAAAATGGAAACCAAGAAAAGCAGAACATCCAATTTTGGTTTTGGAAAAACCCCAGCAGAGTACTGGGCAAAACAAGGTAAAGGCTGCACCTTTTCTTTTTTGGGAAATGACGACTTCTTCAGGTGTAAAGATGCAGGTTGTGAGGAGAGGCCTGGGGTCTAACAAAACAGGCTGGGCCTTCATACAGGCTGCAAGCAATGGGTTTGCCACCTTTGCTTTATATGGGCCACCTTTGTATTGTCTTTAGTGACTGGCAGCAGCATTCCACAATTCCATACAGGAATCCTTCCCAGCTCTATCTGGGAATTCCAGGCAATGGCTGTAAATCCTTTTACAGAGCTGTAAAGCCCAATACAGGGCTGTGCGTGGGTCCTCCCAGTTCAGCTCACAGGCCAGTTCAGGCCTTTGGAGCAGTTCCCAGTTTGGTCTCAGGTATTTTGTACCCAGCTTGCTGGGTAGCTTGGTGGTTTAGGTATCACGCTGCGAAGGCAGAGGGTGGTAGTTTGATTCCCCACTGTGCCTCCTGATAGCTTGGTGGTTTAGATATCACGCTGCGGAGGCAGAGGCTGGTAGTTTGATTCCCCACTGTGCCTCCTGTGAGTACAGCCAGCCTGTGTGGCCTTGGGCAAGATGCACAGTCCCGGGGCGTCCCCAGAGGAAGGGAATGGTAAACCACTTCTGAGTATTCTGTACTTGGGAAACCCTGAAAAACGTTGCCATAAGTCAGAAGATGATGATGATGATGATGATGATGATGATGATGTACCCCTCCAGTATGATTTGTGCCCTGAATCAGAATCAATTTGTAAATTTCCTTTGGTTCACCTTGGAACCAAATCTAGCCTTTCTGCTTCAGTCTGGGCCTCATACCAGTTAGGACAATTTGATTTGTAATTTGGAGTCAGATTATTTCAGCACAGCTGTTTTGGCTTTTTAAAACAATGTCATGTTTTTTGAGAGGACAGCATTGCTACCATTTTGTTCCTTCCTTTACTGTAAAATCTATTCTATGAATCTTTTGCTGTAAAAATCGGCAGTTGTGTCAAGTATGGGATCTGACGTAATAAATTCTTGCTCTAATATCTTTGGGTCCATATATATATTTCTCTCTACTAAAAAGGCTCCTCTTATTTTTCACAGTGCGCTCCAGCTGCAGGGAAAGTGCACGCACCTAGCCCAAGTCCGGTTTGTGCCAACAGCTCTCAAGGATTTGTTTCCCCTCTGTCTGTAAATCACAAAGAATATCCTTCTGCATCAAATAAGCTCCTGAGAGCATGTAAGTATTATTGTAAATTTTGATTCAAACTGTTCAGTCTATGAGAAGCTCTGTTAGAACTCTTTGTTAGACTAAACAGTTCCTGTCCGTTTTTAAACTCACTTTGTTTTATTTTCCGAAGCAATGAACCAGACAAAAGGTTCATCTTAAACAAAATTTACTGAGTTTATTTCAGAAGACATTTTACAGTGGTGCCTTGCTTAACGGTGATAATCCGTTGCAGAAAAATCACTGTTAAGCAAAAACATCGTAAAGCAAAAATAAAAAGCCCATTGAAATTCATTGAAAACCTTTCAATGTGTTCCAATGGGCTTAAAACCTACCATCCAGCGAAGATCCGCCATATGGCAGCCATTTTCGCTGCCTGTATAGCGAGGAATCCATCCCTAAACACAGCAGGGAGCCATTTTATTAAACCTCTGATCAGCTGTTTAAAAATCATCATTTTGCGAAGAATCGGTTCCCGAAGCAGGGAACCGATCATCGCAAAGCGAAATTCCCCCATTTAGACGATCGTTTCTACCATTCAGCGAAGATCCGCCATACGGCAGCCATTTTCGCTGCCTGTATAGCGAGGAATCCATCCCTAAACACAGCAGGGAGCCATTTTATTAAACCTCTGATCAGCTGTTTAAAAATCATCATTTTGCGAAGAATCGGTTCCCGAAGCAGGGAACCGATCATCGCAAAGCGAAATTCCCCCATTTAGACGATCGTTTTGTGATGGCAATTGCGATTGCAAAAAGATCGTCGTAAAGTGGATTTGTCGTTAGTGCGGGGCAATCATAAAGCCGAGGCACCACTGTATAGTTTATCTTACCCCAAGTTTCATAGAAAACAATGTCTCAAGGGCTGAGCACAAGGTCCAGAGAAGGAGGAATTTAGACCACTTTCAAGAAAGCAATATTAACAACTTGTGGGTTAGAAAGGATTGGAAGAGGAGCCAGAAAGTGTTGAATCTTTTAAGTCTTTAGAAGGAGCAAAAGGACAGTGAGAGAGAGAAAGGAATAGCTACATTCTCACTTCCAGAATGCCCCTATTGGGCATGCATGAGGACAGATGCGAAAGAGGTGATGTTCTGGAAGATTCTTTCAACAAGTGTGAGAAGCATGAGGACTGCCTACCTCCATGCAAAGCTACTCATCTAGCAATAGTCGCTCTTCTTGAGAATGCTTTGCCAGGAGAGCTTTGCCAAGTGGTTACTTGGGAAGGGGGGTCTTCAATTTGGAGAAGATAATCCACGACACAGCTTATTGGCAGTCCACCTGGCTCTCATTCCAATGCTTTCTTCTTTTAAAAAACATTGATTAGATGGATGTTGCTTTTATTCTATTGTTTAATTGTGAATGGGATGTTTCATTATCATCTACAGTGGTGCCTTGCATAATGAGCGCCCCGTAGAGCGATTAAATCGCTTAACGAGGGGCTCTGGGCCATCGCTGGAGCATTCGCTCAGCGATGGCCCCTATGGAGGTTTTTCGCATTGCGCTATTCGCTAAGCGATTCGCTTAGCGAATATCGCATAACGAAGCAGGGGAGAACAGCTGCTCGGTGGTTCCAAAATGGCCGCCGGAAGGTCCCCACCTCATTTTTGTGCCCTGCCCTCGCTTACCGAGGGCGCAAAAATGGCGGTGCTATGGAAGAACTTCGCACAACGGTGAGTTTTCAAGCCATAGGCTTTTTTATTTCCGCACAGCGATGTTTCCCATAGCGAGGGTTAATCCGGAACGGATTAACCTCGCTATGCGAGGCACCACTGTATATCTATCTGTGTTGTGAGCTGCCCTGGTAGGGCTTGTGAAGGCCAAATCATGAGTTTTATGTACTGAGAAAGTTGTATTTTGTCTAGAACAAGGGTTTTGGCATCAACCCAAGATGGTGGCAAATGTTGATCTTAAGCAGGAGAAAATCAGGTTTGAGATCAGATTAGTGGAGAACAGCATATCAGAAGTGTGCAATAAAACTCCTTGTTGCTTTTTTCACTGCATTTTAATGTGTGAGGTGAGCACAAGCATATACACATACATGTGTTTTGCTGTTGCTTTTGTTTTATTCAGTTGCAGAGTTTTTTAAAAGCAGATTTTTCCAGTAGCACAGATGCCCAATTTTAGACAGTACAGTTTAAGAAGCAGTTTATAGGAGAGAAAAGAGAGGATACGTTTTATTATGATTCTTCCTCCTTTCAGTGGTTCAACAGTATATCTAATACCTTAGAGCAGACTTTTAACTTGTTTTGTTTTCTTGTCTTGTGCAGAATTGCTTTATAATTTATTGTATCCTAGTCGTATATTGTAGTAAAAATAATAAGCACTATGAAATGAGGAAAAAGTATTTAGTTGTATGGAAGAACAAACTGATTATATCACACCGGCCATAGAAAAAC